TTTCCCTCCCTCCCTCAAGATTTCTTTTAAATGTGAAAGATGCAAGATTGAGAGCCTCTGTTCACACCATGCTTTCCTGCATCTCCATGCCTGTGTGCTTAGTCTTGATCTGGGTGAGCCGCTTCATGGACTTTTTTGCTGTAATAATCAATAGAAGTGGCAATTGTGGTGGTTTTTTGTTGTTGACGTTTTGAACACTGCGGGATGAACTGATCCACTGAAAGTCTTGTGACTCTGAGGAGTTGGATTAGGCCTTTCGCAATAAGGACTGAATTTTATTAGCTAACCAGGCAGTTCTGTGCACTTGCTTTACCAAGACCACCAACTTTCTACCATGCAGCACATTCTTGCTTTAAAGTAAAACAAACTACTAGGTAATAAGTACATATTTAACATGGGGGTATTTTTTAGCCTAGATTTTTCTTCCTTTTTAGTTTTCTCATGTTTTTCTCTTGTTTTCCCCTATTTCCTCTCCTTTTCTTTCTCCCCAGTTCTGTACAGTGGAGTTAATGGTACTGGCCTTCTTTATAAAGCACTTGAGCTCTGTGATGAAAAGAGCTATGCAAGAGTTTAGTGGTGGTGGTATTCATTCTCCAGTTATCCTTTATGAACACATGGGGAGAAAATGCAACTGTTGGAAATGGTTTCTTCTCCTATCTGCTTCTTTGTTTTTCTGATAATGTTAAAGCATCCGAGGGGCATGGGTGGTTTATTAGTACTTCTTATATTCAAAATTACTAGGTTGACAGTCTACAGTGGAGAGGTGGTGACCAAAGACCACAATGGTGATTTGATTCAGAATCATAACTAGGATTTAGCAGTTCTTAATAGCCAGGCCTGTGCTCCAGTTGGAACTGTATGGGAAATGATTTTCCCATCCCATGACAGTTTTTGAGATTTCAAAAAAATTTCCCATCCCAAATTGGATAAGAAGTAAATGAATCACAACAAAGTAATCATTTTTTAAAATGTCATGTCAATAAATTCTAAACATTTCACTTAGATATTAATCTTTAAAAGATGTTTATGCCTTTTTCTAGTATACATTAACTAAAATTTCAAAACAAAAAGCCATTTGAAACCAAGAACAAAGCTTTTCATTTTGAAAATGGTAAAACTTTTTTCAGTCATGACAACCATCAAAACCATGCTTTTCTGTAAACAGTTCTGGTTTTCACAAATTGATATTTTTCCAACAGAAGAAAATGTAATTGGAAAATGACTGATCAGTTCTAGCTTTAATCACTACATTTTGCTCTCTGTTAGAGCATTATGCAACAAAACCTTATGCAGGAAATGCAAGTGGCAAGAATTGTTTGTTTTCCTAGTCCTTCAGTGATAGCTAGCCCTCACAGAATGCTGCTCATTCATAGGTGTCATGAGTGCCATCTCAGATGATGAATTGATTTAGAGAGAAGTTGTGAGTTGCTCATGGTCACAGAGCAAAGTTAGTGGTTGAGCCAAGAATATAATCTTTATTTCCTGTCTCCTTATCCTGTGCTCTATCCATAGAGCCCCATTGCATCCCTGAACTTCTCCAATATTTGCATTCTTTCCTGTACTAGGTGAAAATGAGACAGATGAGAGGTATGGGCAACCATGGGAGCAGAAATAGTAGAAGTGAAAAAATGAACATAATTGAAGTCTACTTATTAATCCTTTCATATATACATTGCAAGGTCTTCTCCCATCTAGATTTGAATTAAAAATTTGTTTTCTGTGTATTATATGGAATTGCATTGCAGTATACACAGCATCAACATGGAAAGGTTTTTTTCCACCTACATATATTTTGTGTGTGTGAATAAGACTTGCTGACTTTCTAGCTTGAGAGAACCTTTTCCTCCTCAGATGCTCTATGAATTGGGACTCTGTGTCAGGCAGATGAACTAGCTCAAAGGTGGATAAATAGTTACATATGCCTCACATTGCAAAGTAGTTCCTATTGTCTAAGCTTCATCTCAAGATTCCTGCTTCATTATTGCACTGGCATGCCCTTTGGAACATGAAAATAGACTCATGGGGCCGGTTTGCAGTAAAATATTATTGTGTATACACAGATTGTGTAGGACTATTTGATATTTTATTCCTGCTATGTGGCTATATAATGAAATTCAGAGCATAATTTAATATTGAAAGAATTCTATCTACATTCTTAAAAAAAACCCAAAGCTTGAAAATTTAATGGGAGGGAAAGTAATGATAAACAACATACAAACATGCAGGAAACACTGTATGGGCTACTGAGAGACAAGAGAGTGCAATTCAATGAAGTTGGTATTGCTGAATACTTTATAGATCTTCAGTAAAGTATCACAGACTGGGGAGGAAGCAACATCTTGCCTCTGGGATAAGTACCTTTTGTAGTTCAGTGTAAGTCCATCTCTAAACTAAATAGAACTCTAGTCTATTTTATGTTCTCAACTTGAGAGTTCAGGAAAATGCTTTGTTGATATGGAACATAATCCATAGAGATAACCCAACTGTTGGAAAGTGCACATTTGGAGATAACAAGTGAAAATGGTCAAACATTTGGGCATCAGGTAAAGATTTAAGATCTATTTTGAAATATTTTATTTAACCCATATCTCCTAACTACTGAAAGAACATTGCTGAGATTAAAAGGAACCATGAAGAAATTATAGTGAAAATTTCGAAAAGAAGATAAATTTATAGGAGCTTTTACAGAGACAAGGAACACCACCAGGAAAAATGATTTATGTATAATGGCTGATTGGATATAGTCTCTCTTAGGGTTTTTTTAAAAAGTAAGTTTAGCATATGAAAGTTGGTGAAAGAACTGCAAGTCTGAACTACCTGTCTAGTCTGAACCTTTCTAGTCTGACTGGCTCCAAACAAGAGAATTTTCTGGACCACGGGAGGTGAATATTGTCTAGCAACATTACCAACACTTCCACTGCTGACTGGTCTGAGAGAGGACTTTTGGGGGTAAATTAGAGCTAAATAACAGCACAGAACACTGAGAGCCGGGACTGGTGGCTGTAAACAAACTTTATGGGACTTTGGGAAACTTGGCCACTCCCATGAAAAGTGGACATCTGGCTAACTAAATTCGTCCCAGACGATGGATGTTTCTGGATGAGAGAGTTGTGGATTAGAGAGGTTCAATCTGTACAGTATGGTCAGGGCAGACTTCTATTTCCATTACATAACTTCCTTTTCTTTTAAGGTAATAAATGTGGGGATGAATCTTTGTTATAATTTATCTGTAATAAGCAGAAAGCTATGATCATTCTGAAAAATTGTTGATTGCCAATTCTTTCTGTGGTGCATTTGTAATAGATATAATGAATTAACACGTAAACGTAGTTTTCAAAAAAATCACTAGCCTATACTAATTAATATGTATCTGGCATTTACCTTTTTAAAAATTACTTTGAAAGCCCATTTGCAGTCGGTTAAGATTTGCAGACTATTTCAGTTAAACGTTTTACAGTATAAAATAGGTAACAACTATAGACAGGCCCACTGATGGGGGAAGGAGAGGGCAAAGGGGGCAGTTGTCCCAGGACCTGATGATTCAAAGGGGGCCAGAACTCCTGGCCTTCACTGCTGGTACTGCCGTAGCAGTACTACACTCGTTTAGCTTTGAGAACTGTGGTGGGAATTCCAGTGCCATGGTCTGTGGAAGCTGTAGGCCCCCCTGACTACAGAAATTGTTTACAAAGCAAAATAATATTAGGGTGGCATGATGGATCACATTTTAAAAAAAGGCAAAAAGCTTAGCTCCCAAATTTTCAAAGTTTGCCCTAATACTTTGTTTGCTTTTTCATATAAGTCATTGCTCTATTCTTTTGTAGCTTAAATTATGATTTGTGTTGCTGTCTGTATTGAAGAAGAATAAGAATGCATGCATAGGAATGGCACACATTTTACGTTTTTAATAGTATATAAGATTGCTTTTTTATGTGTCATAATTATCCTGAACGAGAGCACTCAAAACCTCCATTGAGTTAAGTGGGACCCATGCCCCCATAAGTACAACAGATGTATACCTTTTATTTACATTTGACATGCTTCAGACCATATTTCCCTCCTTCCTGTCACTATTAAAATACAGCCTAATTTATTTGCTTTTGTTAATTAAAATGGGGAGTGGAAAAGCAATAGCCTTAATCATGTTGGTGCATCAGTAATCTTTACTAGTACTTCAGATGTTATCATGGCACCAATTTCGTAAAGACAGTTCTCTATAGAGCTTTTGCTAATTAAACTCTCAGGAAACAAGCACAAAGAAGCAGTGGCGGTCTTCTGTGATAAACAGTGTATTTATTTTTATTATATTAGCATAAAATAATATGCTGAAACTCCCTTAAAAACAAATAGAATTCCTGTTCTTATAGGTTATACTTGCTCTTTTACTGGTAGATTAAAAAAAAAAAGAAAACACAGACTCTACCTTATTAAAATTTAACAGAGATATTTTCTCTAAACTTTAGTAATCTCATCATGCTTTTTAATTGAAAATTCCAACTTTTGAATTTAAAGTGTATTTGCACTGAAAGAGCAAATCACTAATCTTTGAGTTTCAAAAGTTGCAAATCAGGAAGAGGGACTTAGAGACAGGTCCTGTGGGAGACTAAGAACAGTTGCCATGTCAGCTCCTTAATGCTGAAGTTATTTAGTATGAGGCAAAAATGGCAAATATCAACATTTTGCAATATATTGATGTAAAATTTTTTCACATTGCATATTTTTAATTGATGAAATATCTCACAAGTGATTGTAGTATTTTTTCTGTATTTTCAGTTAAAATGTACATACTAGCACATTAGTTTCATACTCGAAGATTGTGCATTGGTAGCAGTAGATTGCCTTCCCAGAGTTTGTACTGAATAACGGGTAAATATAAATGTACATGAATTTCTAGTTTAATTCTTTGCATTTGTAAGCTTTTGTACATAGCATGTAGGGAGGTTTTAATCGGTAGTTGCATGCAGAACGAGCATTTGAAATAGCTTTTTAATTTAGTGACTCTTACACACAGGTCAATTATAGTGTTCAAGATGGCAATACACGACTTCATACTGGGCTTCAGTTAAAGTGCTCACTAAATAAAAATTGCATTTTTGATACTAACATATAGACCTAATTTAAAATACATACTCTTTTCTTTTAGTGAAAACGCTTTTCTTCTGACACCAGAGCTCACTCCACGGAAGCTGGGAGGTCTGTCTTTTGAAAAAGCAGCTGGGTGCCATTATCATGGGCTTGAGTAAGTTTCCTTGCACTGCTTGATGTGATTATTTTCTCAACACTGTCATCTAGCATAAAAGCCATGTTATAAATGGGGCCCTCTTTATGCAGACTGCATACTATTTCTAGAAAGTAGATCTACAAATATATCTGGGATATTTACTAAATGATTTTAGTCCTGAACATAACAAGGTTTTTGTCGATCATTCTCCCAGTTTATCCCCCTCCCCCAAATCCCCTCATTTTCTAGGCTGGTACCTATCAATTGTTATACTCCTGTCTCCTTGAGGATAATGAAGATTGTGACTTTGGCCTTATCTATACATACACACATTGTACTGCTTTAACTTCTGCTGCTTCTATATTCAGGCCTTAACGTCTGAGGGGGAGCTTCATTTGCATAATTAAATGTCTAAATTAAAATATGGTTTTATTGTATAATAATATTTTTATATAAATGAAAATTATGGTGAAGATTGCTATCTGTATAATATTCCAGAAGTGTGAGCGTGTGTGTCACTCTGAAGTCTAGCATGTCTGTTGAATCAGTATGAAATTGTAAAAACAGCTGCATGTTTGGTTGAAAGCTTCTTTTGTTTAGAATATCAGCAGCTCTAGTCATCGTGGTCTGTTACTGTCCAATTTAAGTTCTCAGCCATTTACAAAATACACTTGTGCCATGTACAGGTACATCAGTGATTCTCAACCTATTTATGTGTTACCTTGGGTCGCAAGTTGAGATCTACAGTGTGCCCCTTGAATTCCACTCCCACAGATGCCTATCCCAAGGTCTCCCACCCAGAGACCCCTTCACAGACTGGGGCCCAGGAGCAGACCTCTGGTGTGAGGGCCAAGCAGCAGGGATGCCAGGCAGCAGGGACTCCAGGACACTGGCCCCACAAGGCTGATAGCCCTGGACCTGGTGGGGCTGGGTGGCTGCCTCAGATCCTAGACCCAGCAGCACTGGACTTCCAGCATGGGAGGCTGGCCAGCCCTGACCCTACAGATTGGCTAGCAGACCTGACCCTAGATTCCTGCCACGCCGAGATGGGCAGCCTGGACTCTGTCATGCTGGGCAACCAGGAACCTGGACCCTGCAGTGTGTACCCATCAGTCTTTAGAGCACAGCTGAGCTGCAGCTGTGTGTTAACTGGGCTATGGGTTGAGAATCTCTGAGCTACAGTAAGATTCTATGCCACAGCAAGCATTGTAGATAATTTGGTTGAATTATTTATGACAGCGCATCACCCTTACTCTACAGTTCATTTGCATACAAAAATTTCACACACAACACCAAATAGTCGCGCACACAACAAAATGAACCATGCACAAAATAACTCAAAATGCACACATAGCCATTCACTGCAACACAAAAACCTATTTAGGTGAGGGGTTTTTACAAGTGACTTTATACATTTTGTAAGAGAAATTAAAGTCCTAAAATACAGGAAAGGGCTGAACAATAACCCGTCAGTTTTGCATCCTGATCTGATGACCAAATTTCAGTAAAATGTAAAGCAAAGGGATTGATAATTTTAAACACTTAACAAGAGCCTGATTGTATTGTCAGCATCCCAGTACGTGCTCTAGGGAGAAATACCATTTCCATAATGTCTAGTCCTGCATTCCATAATTCAAGTAAACTTTCTGTTGACTTCAGTGGAAATTTTATATGAAAGAGAATTGGGTATGGATAGGGGAATTTGACCCATATTAAGTATGTAACCCAACTTCATCTTGTTAACTTTACTGTAGCATAGTCCATGAGAAAATCTGTCATGTATTCTAATTTATTAGGTCATTCAATGCTGTTGTCCAAAGCAACCTAACAATTCAAGTAAAGAGGCACTGGAGATCTTTCTGTTGTTGAAAATAAGTTTGATTATTCAGTTTTTCTAATGAGAAAAAAATCCCCCAGCTTTGTTACAGTGGTCACTGGCTTTGTGTTTCTGTTATTTTTTTATTTCAATTTCAGATACTGTCTAGATAACAGAAAATCTTTAGAGAGAGATGTGAAATTTGCTGAACTTCAGACTCGTCTTATTCGCTATGAAACACAGACTACCTGTACTAAAGAGTGCTGTCCTGTACCGTGTGTCTTGAGCCCTCTTCCATCTCCTGCAGTTTTGTCAGAGCCTGGAAGTGTCCCTGATGGTGAATCTTTACAAAGTGATCTCAAAACAGAAGTATTAAAGCTAAAACGCAGATCAAAAGACTTGGATTGCTTTTATCCCAATAAGAGGTAATGCACTAAATAAAATTTAAAAAATCATAATAGGAAATATTTCAGTCTCATGTGAGCACATCTTTCTTTTCATTTTAAGATATTTTTAAAGGTGCTATCTAAATGTTTGTGTTTATAATCTTCTTGCCTAAGTTTCGTATTTCTTGCGTGTCCTCTCATTAACTGTATTAGATGCAAGCCGCAAAATGCTGCGTGTCTCCCGAAAGGCACTAAAATGTGCCTATTAGCCACTGAAAATTATTATTTGTTTTGCAGTAGCATTGTACTAGGCACTGTATAAACCTAAAATATTATACTCCATGGCACCAAGAGCTCACAGTCTAATTATAGAAGACCCTCTGAAGTCCCCGTTCACCCAGCTCTGACTCTCTCCTCAAACTCTTTTTAAAAACCCAGTTATTCAGAATCCCCATAAGAAAAGTTTTTATTTTATTTGCATCAATGTAGAGCCATCAGCAAGTGCATATACTACAGCTGAGCAATTTCTGATCTTACTACTGTAATACTTCCCGTCATTTCCCCTCAGTTATTAGTTACACTCTCTTGTTGCCGCACATCCATTCTTCTAGCAGGAACTATGTCAAGTGGGGATTTTAATATACTTTCTCATCAAAGAATCTGCTAGATTCTGGTGTTCTGTATAAAAAGAAGTGTAATTGTGGTTGTTCCCCACTTCCCTGAATTAAGCCCTTATCTTAGGAGCTTCAAGCACTCTCTTCTTGACCCTGTCTTGGTTTAGATTCACGAGGAGACTAAAACACTGGAGTCAGTGACTTGCAAGGCCTATTCTTCATTTTTACTGCCTTAATAGGGAGATGATTCATATGGGAGAATGTGTCAAACAAAGGATTTTTTTTTTCAGTTAGGATGGATGCAGAGGGAGGTTTTCCTATCTACACACATCTGCTCTGTCCCTCCAGTTAACCTCTGTGATATGTTCCATTCTTTGTTTTGTCTGTAACATCTGCTATACAGAAGACCCCCTTCACTCTGTTCTGGTGTAGCTGTCAGAGCTAAGGGAAGAGAGTCTTCCTCAATCAATAGGAAGGACATTCTGTTAATAGGTTGCTACTGCTCACCATATTCAGCCTCCATTTTTTTGAGTGTACTGCATCTGTGAAGGATAGGAGGAGTGCTGGACAGTATTTGGTGTCTAAAGGGTTAAACTCAGGTAGCTTGGGGGAGGGAGGTTGGCAGGGAGCCAGGGAAAAGGTGTACAGCCAATGGGAAAAGGTGTTGAAATTTGAATTGGAAGATATACCTGCCTGCTGTTTTCTTTGTGTGAGTTTTAAACCAGAAGTTGGGGGAATAAGATGAATTAAACCAGGCAAAACTACCATGCCTGCAAGGAATACTGGGCATGGAAAGTAGATAGGAAAATATCTATTTAGTTGTGATCAGATTATTTTCCTTGTTTTGTTGTTTGGTTAAACTCCTCTGTGCTACATCCATGTGCCCACCGCCCCCGTACACTGTATTTTAAGTTGTATCCCAGAGATATAATTTTTCTGTGTTTTTAATCTGTTCTTTTCTCAGTTGCTCTGAAACACCTAGCAACCAAGTATGCTTTATCAAGTATATCTTTGTTTTATTAATAAAATCACCTTTTTTAAGGTGATGATTTGATTCTTGTGTCCTGGAAGATGATAGGAGGTCTGTGTATGCATGCCTAAGACTCAGGGGTCAGCTATCAGATATTGCAGTTTGTTTTCTCTTTTTATTCCCAGCTCTCTTGTGGTAAAAGAGCTTGGGGATACCCCTCTGGAAGAAGTCTAAGTGCTTTCTTCCTGAGTTCAGGAAGAAAAGGGTTTTCTTTTGTTTCACTTGGTGGTGGCAGCTACCTCCCAAGGTCAAGGGATCTGTGACTTTGGGGAGCTTTTTAAGAAGAGGCCTATAGAGGCACGGTATTTAAGGTCTCTTGGGAGCCCCACATTCTTCACTCCGAGTGCCAGAGTGGGGAACAGCCTTGACAGCATGTCTTGACAGCATGTTGAAGACAATTATGGTAACCTTTTATAGTTGAGACAAAACAAGTAGACCATAAACACTTATCTGTTTTCTTTTTTTTTCTCCAGACTAATAAAAACTGAAAGCACAGATTCTCTCTCATCTCAGGCAAGTGGAAATAGTGTGGGTCACCATTCAGTAGATACTATAAGACAACGGCCAGGCAGAACATTGTCTCTGACATCTGCATCGGTTAAGCAGCCTAGTCGTCGGGACCACAAAGTAATTGCAGAGGCTGGCCCAGCAAGTGAGAGATGTGTGCAAGAATCAGAAACTTCAAAGCCAATTAAGGAATCAAGATCTCAGAAACATATACGGGTAAATACACACACACACACACACACGTTTGTCTTCTGCCCCCCTCCCAAAAAGAAGATGATAATCTCAATTTTTAGCTTCATTCTTTCAAAATGTGGGCCAAATTCTCAAATCTTTATTGCTTAGTTCTGTGCAAGGGAAATTTCTAGAAATGAAGAGAAGTTTTGCATAAGTAAGGAATGCTAGACTGTAGGAAAAGATCTTAGTACACAATACAGTATCCAAACAAAGAAAGAAATAGCAATAAATAACTTGTAAAAAGGGTGAAATAGAAATTAATATAAATTAGAAATTATGAAATATAGATAATTGATAAGGGAAGCCAGATATCAGGAAAGAATCCATGGTTGGCAGTACATAGGACAATAAGATTTTTTGGGTGGGGAGATTTATCAGGAACAAAAATCTTAGCAATGGTATAGGCCAGTGTTTCCCAATTGGTGCTCCATGGAACCCTGGGGTTCCGCGAGGAGCTGGCACTCCCCTGCTCCCTCTGAAAGAGAGAGATCCAGCTAGCCAACTTCTTAAAGAAACAGCACACTTGTTTCCCGTTCCTCCCTGGTGACACAGAGGCGTAACAAGGTGGGGGCTGAGGGGAACAGTTGATCCCGACCGGCACACTAGGGGGGTGCCAGACAGGGGTGGCCCCATGTGACCCACAGCAGGGAGGGAAGCACTTCCCTTCTCCAAAGGAGCCGGCATGCACTGCCTGAACAGCTGTGGCTGTGGCACCTGGCAACTTTAGTTCTGTGTCCTTTCTGCGTGGTGGGGGGGAAGTCAGGAGACCTGGGGCTGTGCAGCTCCAACTGTGCAGGCGGCGCGCTCTGCCCTGAGACTCCGTGCATCCTCCACCCTCGCAGGATGGCATCGCGCAAGTAAGTTGCTGGGGTGCAGCAGCCCCTGCTGTTCAGGCAGTGCTCATGCCAGCTGTTTGGGGAGGGGAAGTGCAGTCGCACAGTTCCCGGAACTCAGAGATGCTGCAGGAGTGCCAGGTACTGGTGCCCAGACCCCTCCCCCCCCACGAGTACCCTGTTCCCTGCCCCTACTAGCACTGTCCCCAGCACCCAGGAGCACCCTGTTCCTTGTCCCAGCACCTTGCCACCCACCTCAGTGTCCAGGAGGACCATGTTCCTGACCCCCCAGGACCCTGCCACCTGCCTCAGCATCCTGCCCCTACACTCCGCCACCTGTGCCAGCATCCTGACATCCCACCCAACAGCACCCTCTTCCCGGCCCCAGCACCCCCTAGCACCGTGTCCCGTGCCCCCACCAGCACAGCTGGGACCACATTAGTGAGGCTTGGGAGGGTGTTTTTTTTTTTTTTTTTTTTTTTTGCATCTCACTTGTGTGGCCCCAGTTGACTTTTCTGTGGGTCAGTGACCCTTGACTCAAAACAGGTTCTCCTCCCCTCTAATAAATAAAGACAATGCTAAAACCTTTTGAGTTTGACATAATATTTCATTTAAAAATGAAGCCTTGCCAACAAGCGCCCAATTGGGGTCAAGCCCCCATCTCACTGCAGCATCATAACACTCCTAGACCACCTGACCCCAAATCTGAGCCTATCATACACTGGAACCCCCTGTCCTGAGCCTCTTACATTCCCAAACTCCTGCATCCCCACATCCTAAGTCTTCTGCCACAACACTCCTGCACCAGTTTAACAGTTATTTTGAGAGAAGGGTTTTCTCTCAAAATAACGCGTCTACACAGCGCGTTTTATTTCAAAATAGTGCTATTTTGAAATAGCACAATAATGCGATTATGCAAATGCAGCGCGAGATATTTAAATCCCGGCTTCATTTGCAACTCTGGTACGCCTACTTTGCATTCTTCTCTCGAAAAAAGAATGCAGTGTAGACATACCCATATTTACAACCTCCTTGCCCTGAGCCCCTCACATATCCAACCCAAACTCCTGCACCCTCATATCCACAAGTCTGTGGCTTGCTCGGCACCCCAACCTTCCACCTGAGCCCAACACTCTCCAGCCTGGAGCCTCCTCCCTGAGCCAGCATCCCCTTCTCCTGCATCAAAATTCCTTCCCAGAGCTTGCACTTCTCACCCCTTCCTACACCCAAATCTCTCATTCCCACCCCAGAGCCTGCACTTCCTGTCTCAACCCAGTGAGAGTGTATAAGGGCTGGGGCTAGCAAGTGATGGAGAGGAGAGGAACAGAGAGGATGGGGCCTCAAGGAAGGGGTGCGGTCTTGGAAGGAATGTGATTTTCATGCATTGGTGGGGATTTTCATGCATTGGTGGGTCCCTCTATATTTCCCCCCTCCCCCCCCTTTTTTTTGCTTGACAAACCTAGGGGTTCCTGGAAATTCTGAAAAGGGTTCCAAGGCCAAATAAAATTGGGAAACACTGGTATAGGCCAATTAATAGAAGGAGATGGTGCTATTTGTTAAAGATGGAGAAAAGGAATAAGTACTTGGAAACAAGCAGTATGATGTGTTTGTAACTAGAGCTGCCTGGAAATGGAAATCCATTCCTGTGGGAAAAAATTTACTTTGAAAAAAAAAATCCATTCCAAATAGCAGCAAAAAGTTAAAAACATGAAATTTTTTCATAGAAAGGGATTTCCAGGAAAATTCCAACTTGTAAGACCCAAAATGTAGCTTTTTGGCTTTTTGCCTATAGAAAATGAAATTGACAAGCCTTCCCAGATGATTGCCAGATAGTGAGAACCTCAATTTTCCATCATTTCCCACACCCCCTAGTTTCCAGAGAGAACAGTAGGCTGCTGAAAATGTGGGGCAGGAAGAGAGCTGCGGAGCTCTGCTTCCTTGCCTCCCCCAAATCTGTTTGCCAGAAGGGCAACTGGGGCAGGAAAAGTACTGAGGTGCTGAAAGAGGGCAAATATTGTACCAGTATTCAAAATCAGCAGAAGATGAGTTGGGTAACTATAGGCTGGTTAGCCTGACATCAATCAAAGGCAAATAAATGGAGAACTCATTATGGGATTCAATAAAAAAAAGATGGGGTTTATTATTATTATTTTTGTAAAAATGTATTATTATTATTTATTATATGCTAGTCGGAATGACTTATGGAAATAGGCTTTGCTGAACAATCCATATATCATTCTTTGATAAAAGTACAAGGTTAGTCAATAAAGGTAAATAAATGACAGTGTAAAATGTAAGATGTTTGACTTAATACTGCTCAACATTCTAACTGAAAAAAGACGACCTATCAATAAAGCCCACATTAAAAGCAGGCTAACTGACAGAGCTCCCAGTAGTCATCAGTGGAGAATCTCATCAAATGGAGGTTTCTATCTCCTATGGATTTCACAGAGATTGGCCTAGCCTCAGCTTTTGCATTAATGGTCTGATGTAATAGTGTAGTCAATTAACTGATTAACCGATATGCAAAAGCTTATAGGCTAATGCTATAGACTACACACATTCACCCCCTCATTCCTGCCAGTAAATTTTTAAGCAGGCTGGCCAGCAGCCCAGCTCAGTCCTGGCTTGTGCTAGGTCCAGGACCTACCCCCGCTGTGGCTCTGCATTTAAAGTGTATTAGGAGCTAGCCTGCCTCGTGCCCAGTCTGGGAGCTTAGCCCTCCCCCTGGACAGCAGCGTGGGGTGACAGGCAGCCGGTCTGCGAAAGGAGCTGTTTTTTAAACTGACCCCCCCCTCCAGGACCAGCTCCTACATGGCACCCCATGCTGCTGCCTCCGATACAGAAGCAACAGTGCGACTCTGTGGAAGTGGGGCTAGAGCGCACTGGCTGCCAGTCCCAGCCCCGGAGACTATAGAATAGTTGAGTAACCAATAAGAATTAATGAGGTTAGTCGACTATTCAATTAATTGATATTTAACGTCCCTATTTTAATTAATGCCTAGGGGTTACACAGTGTGTTCCATCTTCAGAACAGTATAAATGTTAACTAATCCTCAGCGCTCAGGTGAAGTTGATCTTCTCTTCATTTTCCAGATGACAGAAATGGAAACTCTGTTAAATAACTATGCCCAATGCTGCAAAATGAACTTGTACCAGAATCAAAGCTTGAACTGAGGATTTCCTGTCTTTTTAGTTCCATACTCAGTCCAGTTCACCAAGCTGCCTCCCTAAAAATCATCTTTGATGCAAAAGGGGAAGAAGTTATAGATGGCTTTATTCTTTAAAAGTGGGCTTGTTATGGAGATAATTGATCCTAATTCCTCAGTGTGCCTGTGTTGTTTCCCAGATGCTCAGGGAAGTGGTTGCTAAAACACTTAAGAAACATGGCATTGAAGAAAATCACAAATGCTTTGCGTCATGCAGCCAGCGTCTGTTTGAGATATCCAAGTTCTATTTAAAGGTACGTTTTCCCCCCTCTTGCTCTCAACGTTTTATGTAGTTACTCTACCAAACCTAAATGCAGGGATATGACCTCTTGCTCTCAACGTTTTATGTAGTTACTCTAACAAACCTAAATGCAGGGATCCCTGATCAAGATTGAAGGGTCCAAATACGATACCTTTTAAAAATATATTAAAATATATTTTAGCGTTATTTGCATCCTAATTGCTGAAAACTTTTTTGTAAAACTTTTGTAGAAGGAACCAGACCTAAATTTGTCTGCTCCTGGACATGTGAACTTATTTTTTGTGCTTCCAAGTTGAAGGGCAAATAAAATTATAAAACTGAACAAGAATCCTAATATCCCAAATATAATGAATGGGTTAATCTGATTTTAGGAGGTCCAGTCTTGACAGTGCCACTATTTCCTAGTTGGTAATATTAAGCAAATAAAATATTAAAGATTTTTTTTCTTCACTAATCAAGACCATATACTACATTTAGTTAGTGTATATTATAAAATATTAAAGATTTTTTTTCTTCACTAATCCAGACCATATACTTACTACATTTAGTTAGTGTATATGTTCAGGCATATATACTGGGAAGCTGTTGTGGAAGAAATTTTGAATTTCACTAGCAAACTTAGAGCAAGGGTTCACGTCACTGCAAGATATTTCTCATGTCTGTTTTTCAAACACTTTAATCTTTTAGTTTGGCAAATTGAATTGCATGTGAGGTGCTTATTTAAATGTGTTACTTCACACTGGAGCCACTGACCACCTATGACCATCTGTTGTTTCTATTTTACGTAAGAAAGGTTAGCAAGGCTTGTTCTTTGTAATTCATTTTCCCTCTCCAGTAAGACCATTAGGCCAAACCTTGACCTGTTTTTAAGATAGGGAAATTTCAGAAATGCAAGTTAAGCCCGTTTTTCCAGTGTATAATTGGGTGCATATAGTAAAGTGGAGTAGCTTGCACTTAGTTAATGTTGTGTAGGAGTAACATATCCCAAGGAGTCAGAACAATGAGATAGAGTAAGAAAAGCTATCAAGAAGATAGCATACGAGAGAATTTGTAGGGGTGGGAGAAGAACAAACAAGCAGATGCTTTATCTTACATTCTTCTGTTAGTTTTTTTGCTACATGGCCCTTCAACCATTTCTGTCACCTCTGTGTATAAATTGCAACTGCTTTGCACGCCTGTTTGACATTTAATGAATTCAGATTACGCTGCTTTACTGTTTGTACCCACTTGCATACATTTTCTGACCAACTTTCACCAATCTATAGTAAATGCAATAGTAAATGCACTGGTATTTATAATCTATTGAACATGTCCTTGGTTTCAAAAGTAGTTTTATCAATGTCTTACATTGTGCTGCAGTTATTTTGTACTTTTTATTTGGATTCCCTCAATGGATAACAGCCAATCATCAGTCTGGAGACAAGTAAAGATCTCTTTTATCATCAAAAGCCCTCTCCTGACTTGACTTGCAGTAATAATCAGTCTCTTAACACTTTATGTATTTTTCTTCCCTTTTTAGAATCTAATCTAAACACTGATTGCAGAGGTTTTAAAAACTTTCCCTCACTTACCTAAAGCTTTAGGAAACCATTATGTTTCTTTTGTGATAATGAAGAGCACAGTCATTGCTCTGGACAAAGCCCATTGATTGCAAGGTGAAGAGAGGGATGTCAATAAACTTCATGCTGAGTCTGTAATCTTCACTTCTTGCTGTAATGTCCTTTCTCTCTCAACTGTTCCAAATCTATTGGCTGAAAAGGAGGAGCATTTGTGCAAGTGGCTGGAAATAGAGACACCATAACATTGCTCATTAAAGTACCTGTGAACTTTCTATAGAACTCCATAGTAATCCAACACCTTTCACCAGGCAGATTTGTGTTTTCAGTTACCCATAATTTTCAGCCTAAGTGACTTTGAAAGTCAGTAGGGTTTAGGCTCCTAGGTTACTTAAGCACTTTTGAAAATTTTACACCAGAGGTTTAGGGGACTGAATAGTAAAGGGAAAATTCTCTCCATATTATGGGTTTTCCACTGGGGTGAGACAATATTTTCCCCTTAAGCACGCAGGAAATGAACATGTTTAATTTGCTTTTCCCTTCCTACTGCATTCCTGTTGAAAGTCAGTAGGGTTTAGGCTCCTAGGTTACTTAAGCACTTTTGAAAATTTTACACCAGAGGTTTAGGGGACTGAATAGTAAAGGGAAAATTCTCTCCATATTATGGGTTTTCCACTGGGGTGAGACAATATTTTCCCCTTAAGCACGCAGGAAATGAACATGTTTAATTTGCTTTTCCCTTCCTACTGCATTCCTGACTTGCTCCATGTCAGACTCCAAAATAGAAAATCTTTTACCTGATGTGGTGGTTTCCTTTGTAGAGCTGATCTCTCTGTTTCATCTACCTTGATCACATTTATTTTGGAGGTCTGCCCTTGTTTGCAAGAGTGTGGTGTGTACGTATGGTTACACTTAAACGTTCCCTCGGGGCTCTAAGAATTTTGAAAAATGTATAGCATCTCTGCAGCTTTGGAAGCATTCGGGGGTAGAAAGGGCACGTCTAAACACCAAAACTTGAGTGACAAGTTTGGATGGCCCCTGGTAATTTTAGGGAGAAGCACAACCTATTGTTAATGGACTAAGAGAGAGGGTAATTCTCAGAAAATAAATAAGTAATCATTTTTTCATAGTTAGGGAGCCCTAGTTGATCCTCAATGAGAGAAAGTCTGTACAGGTAATTTTAATGTAAGCATCAATTCCAGAGGTTCCAGATAGTCTGGCTTCAGTTCTGTACAATGATGTGTTCTCGCTCTAGGATCTGAAAACTTCCAGGGGACTCTTTGATGAAATGAAGAAAACAGCAAACAATAACGCTAAACAGGTAACCTTATTCCTGTTCTTCCTGTTTTTCCTGTTCTGGAAATGTGTTCTTCGTATTTGGCAGTGTGAAATGATTCACTGTACTGAGAGTTGGCACATGACTCTAATGGGTGAACAAAGAAGACCATCTGTTTTCTATGTTTTCTACTATGTATTGTAGAGTCCTTTGGAGGTTAGTCCCCTCAGTGCAAAATCCAGTGGCAGATGTTGACTTGCTATTGAAACTGTTCTAATAAGGGTGGCACTGTCAGAGAGAGAAATTTGAAGCACGAAAAAAGACTCCAAACTTTCCTTCACGTTAGTGAGAAAAATGTGTACATGCTCTTTTGTGTCTCAGAGGAGTTGCTGCACTAAGGGACCTTGAGGGGCAGTCTTCATTCCCTCTGCTGATTAGGATAGTCTCTTTCTGTTCAAGGATACTGAAACAAGAAAGGGCCTATTATGTTATAAAAAGAAATGCAGTGGCTCTAAATGAAGAATTATAAAAATGGTAGAGCAAAGCTCTGGAAATAACTATAAATGGACACCTGAGAGAATGCTGACTGGGCTTGTGTGGGTCTCAGGAGGATTTGTGATTTTTAATATGAGAAAAGTGCTGGGAGAAAATATTCCCCCAACCAGAAATTTATCTGTTTGTCTCATATCCTGGATACCTCATTAAAGAAACTGTAATGATGATTAGCACTGTGGAATGTTGCCATTTTTTGTTCTCTATACTGTAAAATAAAATTTAAGGATTTGGTTGGTTCGTTCCCATCACAAAACCGTTAGAGAAAGAGGGGCTAACTGAGCGGAAAACTACAAAATCACACCATTGAGTTGCTCCGAGATCGTTATTCAGGCTCAGTGTTTGCCCCATATTACCCTCATGTAGAACAGATTTACCCCCTAGCACACAAATAGTAAAGGATAGATAGTAAGCCAGGGATACTCATGCATCATACCCTTGCACCTCCAACCTAGCTCTGGCTGTAGCAACAGTCTGCATGGTAATGCCCGCAAATTTATCTGTTTGAAAAGAGGGATCTCAGTTTCCCAGATTGGGAAATAGGCCTCATTGTAAGTCAGTCATAGAACCAAACATTATATTTTAGGATGTTCTGTCTGCCAGGCCATGCTGCATTTCCTGCTCTGTAACAACTTACAGGGCCTTAATGTGCCACAATCTTGCTAATGAATCAGCATTGAGTTATGATTGGCCATCCAGTTGGAGGAATAGCAACAGCTACAGACGTAGGTACAGCAGTGAAAAAAAACATTTGTTCTTCAGTTTATAAAACAGGAAATTGTTCAAAATGAAAACATGGAGTGTTTAGAATTGAGGGTATACTTTGCTACCAGTGCACAGAGATATGGGAGTATATTATGTCAACTTTTGAGCCCTAGAGGTACCCTTTTTAAATGCAAGAAATTCTTTGGTATTGAAAAATTCCAAGAATTGTATTTTAATAATACAACAATATAGTAATAACTATGTCTGCTCTATATACTGAACAAATTGATTTCTCCTTGTAAAAATATTATCTATTCAAGAATCTGCTAACAGTAAACTTTATTATACTTGCTCGATCTATAACATTGTAGAAAGTTTTATTTTTGTTCTTGAAATTAAATCAACTTTGAAAATCTGTTTTCTCCTTTATTTTTATAGGTTATTGAATGGGTTTTGGAAAAGACTAACAAGTAATGATGATGGTGGATCATTGTATACAAATGGAGTTTGCATCCCCTTCTCAGACTTAATAACGAAAATAGTGCAATACAACAAAAGTATAAAGCCAGGTAACAGGAACGAGAAAAGAGAACATAAAACACTTGGTTCATAGATTTAATTCCCAAGTCCAATAGTATGTTGTGGCCTTTAGATATTTTATATTCAGTGGGTTTTTTTAAATCTGCAATGAACATTGCATTTTATACTATATGCATATTTATAGATTTTGTTTAAGATTTTCATAGACATTTTTATGTATTGTACAGTTTTTATTTTAGATTTAATAAATTCAAATTTGACTGTAATAACAAAACTGTTTTTATTTCTTCTCTTTTCACAATCTTCAAGAAAAAGCAATTGTTCCATACATGACTAGTTTTTGGTTTTCAAATAAGTTAACTGAAAATGTTTATAGTGCAACAAAACTTTCACATTTTATAATTTAAATAGCTATAATTGGTTATTTTTCTGAAGATTAATGTGACTATAGTTAGAACTGAAGTCATAGTAAGAGCTCCAATTTTAGCATAAAATATTAAGGGAGTTTGTTTTAAATGAACCCGAAATCTAACAGACAATTTATAAACTTAAAAAACAACAAAAGGTCTGGTAGCAGTTACTGTTTTATGCCAGCAGTTCAAAAAAAGAGCCTTCAGTAAAATGGCTTGTAAAACTTAATCCAGAAGAAAGGTGCTTGTACCATGTCTTTCAAACTCATGGGTTTCCAGTATCAGTTCTCATTTCTTTTCTAAGAATTTGATATTTTCAATATGTTGCTAGAATCCCATTGATGAGAGTTCCTGAAATTGAGAGCAGTGGCTACCTAAACAGAGCAAGAACTATTGTGTCTGTGAAAATGACGGAGACTGACCCATGCTGCTTTAAAAGGGACACTGCCAGATTTACAAATAATTTAACAGAAAATAAAATCCTTATCAATGTTACCTTTAAATTAAAATTGTCTTACACCACCCACCATTCCGTTAGGAGAGGGAATAAGTGATGCCAGTCCTAGGTATCTTTACACTGATATAACAACATCCATAGTAGCAGATATGGCAATTTAACTATTTTGGAATTAAAATCACTCCGCTAATAGAAATGTTTGTACTGGTACAAAATCTGTAGCAGAGGCTTCCCAGTGAAAAGCTACACTAGTATAGGCAAATCCATTGTATAGCAGGGCTGGGGCAAGCTGTGGCCCAGGGGCTGGTTCTGGCCTGCTTAACACTTTGATCCAGCTCATGGACTAGATCTGGTCACTTTCTATTTATAATCTGCTGTCCGTGCCACCACATTTCCAGGCTTTGGCAAACACATTAGGATCCTATTTAAATGACTCATGACTCCTGGTCACGGCACTACCTTGGCAGGGACCAGAGCCATGAGCCTTTTAAATAGCTGGAGCAGCTACCAGGTAATGAGGTAGTGGCAAGAGCTGTGTTTTTAATTCAAAACTTCTGGCCTATGCAAATCTGGGGGGAGACTAGTCCTTAGCCCCACCCCTTCTGCCTCAGGCCCCTCTCCTCCCATGACCAACTACCAAAATTCATTAAGTGGGGTCCCACTGTGAAAATTATTGCCCAACCCTGCTGAATAGTGTACCCACAGAAGGGTGTTTGTACTGCCTTAACTATATTGGTATAAAGGCAACACTTTTTTTCTGTGTAGAGTTGGTAGTCAACTGAGATTTTAGGTGTTGGCTTCTTTTGAAAACTCAAGTAACTCATTAAAATTAGATGGCAAACTCTGAGCTGAGTGGGAGTCTTGTTTGTACAATGCCTATAGAGTGGGTCTTTAGATGCTGCCATGATATACACAGCAATAATGGTAATAATACTTTTCAGTGTAGATAACAGAAATAAACTAGTCAGTTTCACTTGTGTTCCATATTCAGTTAATTTTGCGGTTATTTTTTGATGTCTTAGGGCAATGCTATAATGTTGAGTTTCACACACAGTTTAAAATGTTTCATTTTAAAAAAATACATGGAAATATTTTTACTATTCCAACTTTTATAAAGATTTTATTTTGTTTACTGAAGCTAAATCTTATGCTAAATTTAACATGGCATTCTGTCTTCATATACCTAATAGTATTTTAGCAAAGGTTTGGTGGAAGCAGGATGTTACCTACCATAATGAAGGTAGACCTTAATTTACACTTGTAGTGTTACAATGAAACAAAACTATAAAAATGACATTTGGGTTACTGGCAGAAAATATTTTAGTGTTTCTTATCCTAAACAAGGAATGATCAAGTCTTAAAATTTATCACTGTGTTTAAATTAAAAATACATATACAAAACTACTGTTATATTTGATACCATATGGCTTAGTTATTATACCACCTTATTCGCATTTGATGCTTTTCTGGTTTTACCCTGTAATGATGTCAGCTATTAGACAGTAATTAAGTTTCTATATATAATTTTAATGAGACTTCATTAAAGTAAGTCCAATTTTAAGAGCATAAGTTGTTTGTGCGACTGCAATCTATCAGGTATTTCTTTATAGATTAAAGAACCCTTGAATGCAGATGTGCAGTTTTTTAAATGTTTAATTATGAATGTTTAAAGATTTTGCATCTGGAAATTCCATTACGTTAAATTTAAGTTAGTAACCTCAATTTCAAAACAAACAGTACTCTTACTCTTTAACAAACCTTAATTTTATAATGTAGCTTTTGGAAGTTGCGTTTTCTTTTTAATACTGGTAGGGCTTTCTGCGTATGTTCATAGCTGAAAATGTATAGTCATTCTGTAAATTGAATTAATTGTTATGCAGGAGTTAACCTGCAGGTAGCAGGGCCAAAATTCTACATTTTGTAAAATGGTTGAGGCTTGCTACCATGATTAAGCAAAACCTTATTTATGAAATTGATTCATAACTTTATATTGAGTGATACAAATATTGCATTTGTATCATTCAGTATAAAGTGTAGAATTTTGGCCCTGCTACCTGCAGGTTAAATCCTGCAACCTGGCTTGCACAAAATGGGAAGCAAGTCCTATTCTGCCAATAGAGAGTTATTTGCCACCCTTTCTTTTCATGCTGCACTGGTGTGGGATGATGAAGCAATGGTGTGTGACTGCACAGTGTGAAGAGTTTACTTCCTGCAGTGCTAGAGTACCTGAAACACAGTTTTCACATTTAAATATGATTTAATGTGGTGCAAAACATGCCTCAGAGGCAGGAGCTATTTAATTCTGCTCTAACAAGTTATTTTCCTTAATTATATCTATGGTACATACACATAGGATTTGTAACTAGACTAAAATACAGTTACAGCATTTCAGTTTTTGATGGGGGGGGGGGGGAACTGCTCCATTTTGAGGAAAAGATGTAATCCTTGTTATTTTATAAGCATGTTTAATTTCATTATCTAAGATTTTGCAATTGGTGCAATTTAAAAATCAAAATCTTGCTGATATTTTTTTAGCAATTAACTTAGATGTCATCATGGATAATGCTTTTGAGTATAAGTTTCCCTTTGAATTAAAAAACTTTTATAATTGAATACATTTTTCAGTTACCTTTTATATGATTGTTTTATCCTCTGCTGGCAAAATATTGAACCAGTGCTATTTCATTACTATGGCATTTATATGAAAGCAAAGCTTATCTTTTCATTATTTTTCTAACTTGTAAGCAAAAAGATGGTGTTATTGTTGAGCATGTACAATTGGCCCATAAAAATGACAAGTGATGTGAAAACAGACCACTCCATCTCCTTTTAGAAATAGGAATATTTTCTTTCAGCTGGAGAGAGCGTACAGTAGTTTCATTAGTTGGCAAAGATTTTTGATTAATGTTATGTGGTAGTGATTTACCTGACAATGCATAAAAAGGCTTTTCATTATTTTACAATGGACACTTAAGAAAAATACTAGTTACTTTTAAGTACAAAGCATCCATCTACATTCAAAAGATCTTTTAAAGTGAGCAACTCCTACCAAATGTTTTACTACTGTGAAAATGACTTTTATTGCTTTTTTGTGGGATTCTGGGGAAGGATCTATTAGCTATTCACATGATCTAGACATGTTCTTCCTTTACATACATATTGTATTTTCCAAGGACCAAAAGGTTTCGAGTCAGTATATTTCCCTAACAGATTATATCAGTTTTATTTTCTGTGATACACAGTAGATGGTAGTACTTTACCTTCTGTATAGATGCTTCAGTCTTGCTACTATTAGTGATATTTCTGTATAGGTTTTACAATTAAAGAATATTATATTTAGGGTAAAATTTTGTCATTCACCAATATAAAGGACCCCTTTCCCCTTAAGTTTCTGCATGGGAAAGCCATTCTGAACTAAACGGAACACTTTCCCTCAGAAACTATAATATAATTCAATGACCAACCTTTATAGACCAGAGGCATTGTTTGCTTTTCTAATTAAGGCATTATTTGAAAATTTGAACAGTGAGAGGAAACCAAATCCTCTTTTCCCAGCCACTTGTTTTGATTAAAATGAAGTGTTTAAAAGCAGTGATTTCCCTCTCACTACACCAGGTAGACAGATACTTCAGGAACTCTACTGGGGAAAACAAAGAGAGTTTAGTACTTGTGAAAGGTCCTATTGGAACCCAGGAAATGGACGGGCTTATGACAGGTTCTAGAAAGATTTCTCACAGACACTGCAGATTTCCTCACACTGCTGCACATCTGCCTTGAATGACCTTGGAGTAATACTACTGCCTTTTCCTTTTTGTCCTGGGTGACCAGAGAGACTGCCAATAGAGGTGCATGCTATGATGTGCTTTGTTGTCCATTAGGAACTGGACTGAGACCCTTAGCTTCTTTCACAGGCCAACAAACCCACTGCATATTACTAATGCTGGATTTTGTCTACAATTTAAAAAGCATGCGTAAAGAACATTGTCCTTTCTATAAATATAATCCATTTTAAACCAGATGAAGCAGTGTTTTTTCATGTAATTACATTTTAGTAATTGCTTAAGAATTCAGTATAATGTTACCTGAAACTAGAAATGGTGTAAATACGGAATTCCAAATAGCCTATTGTACAAATTAAGCTCACCTCACAAAAAAAATCAAATAAATGACTTTTATTAAATATATTCTTTTCCTCTAAAATATAAACTATGCTCTTATAAATGTGGAGTAGGCCCATATTTTCTTAATGCAATCCAAATATGAATCACTCCAAAATCTGTAAATGATGAAGAAATAACATTTGTAATTACCATAATTTTAATTTGTCTATAAATATATAATATGAACTTTCTTTGAAAACTATTTAGTTATTCACTTATACTTCATATTGTACTGAGCACCTTAGATTACGTACTTTGTAATTTAATTATTGAAACAAAAATGAATTTTGATTATTTACAATGAACATACATGTTTATATAACATTCCAGTGACTTTAAAGGAATAAGGACACAGTGCAGTATAATTATATATGCATTGACTCTTATCCACAATACGCAGGCTGCTGCTTTAATCTTTGCAATGTCTAGAGGAACATGGATCCAAATTCAAAAAACTCTTGTTCTTAGACAAAAACACATTGCATTGCATGATCTAAGTTTTCAAGGGAGATGCCTCCTTCGTTAAATTCACATATCTTGGTATTTACTTTTTGATATACTTTGCATAGGCTTTTATTGAAATATGATTCTGTAATCAAAGGTTATCTCCCTGAAAGAGCTAACCCTACAAAGCATGCATATCTTAATCAGAAGAGATAAAAATTCCTCCATAGATAACTGTGTGAATGGAAAATACTGGCAAATTATTTAATATTTATTTATTTTTGGGTATAAAGTAAGTTTTAATTCCTTATATAAGTTCCATTAAGCTAGAAATTAACATTACTAAACAGTCAAATTGCTTTCAGGAATTTTTTGAAGATTACCATATGTCCATACTGTTCCAAAATTACCCTCTCTGTCAGGTATAATATTTTCCAAGTGTTAGTACAGTGTTCGTAAATTCAGCCTGGCATCTCCTTAACATTTTAAAATGAGTATTTTTATTACTAATTAACATATATATGAAAAACTACTATAAATTAAACCTTTATATATGTGGAAACAGATCTGATTTATTTATTGTGCTCAAGAGATCAACTGAAAGCAATTAAAATGGAATCAAATGGTTTTATTATTTTTAGTATGAGAGGCGCCTTTTTTTTTTGCCAATTGAGTGACATCTAAATTAAAACTTACTTTACTTGTAAAGGTAAAAAGAAATACGAATCATTGCAGTGTTACAACTGACTTTCTGCAAGCAATCACTTTTATGACTTCTGATTGTTTATAAAACCCTGACTTGCAAAAGGTGGCTTTAGTGTCAAAACATGAATATCTATTTCAAAGAGTTAGTTCTGTTGCAGCTTAAAGTAGTATAAATTCTACTTTATCAACAGTTTTTCAGTTCACCCCTACTGAATTCTCAGGCCACTTTTTGTATCTCAAATGCATTTTTAAACAAATGATGACAGAATTATACATTTCTTAATTAAATCTGTTTCAATGAAATTGATTTAGCAGCAGGACATTCTAGGTCACAATGTTAAGTTGGGCACAATAACATCTCTAATGGGTAACATTTTCAGAAGCTCTGAAATCCAATTTTGAAAAGTGACTAGGTACATCTAACCATCAGTGGGACTTGGGCTCTTAGGTTAGTTCTTTTTAAAAGTTTACCCTGTGTGCTCATAAGTTAAGGACACTTGAATACGCCCCTTTGTGCTCTCTTGTTTTTAACAGACTATTCAACAAAAGTCCTGTAAATGTTGCTGCTTTGATGTCCTAACAGACTATTCAACAAAAGTCCTGTAACTGTTGCTGTTTTGATGTCTACAGGAACGTGCACAAATGCTCATTAAAGACAGGCCATTTGAAAATACCCCTCAACGCTCTAATGTGGGTGCTGGGCTGTTCACTAAGGACTTTTTTGCTGCTTTACAGAAGCATTTCTCAACCGGGGTCCGCCAAAATAAACCAGAGAGCAGGCTTAGTGTCAGGCTCATTGAAAGCCAAGCAACTTAGCTTTAAGGGGTCCCTTGTCCCGTGAGGCCCTGGGCAATGCCCTGATTGCTACCTCTAACGCTGGCCCTGGCGTTAGAAAGGAAATCTACTAGAAAGGAGAGAAGCAGTTGTTGGAGCACAGGAAGGCTGGGGAGTTTTAATTGCATGTTTGGTGGGATGGCCTCAAACAGAAGGAAGGTTGATAACTCCTGCTTTAGAACATCCTACCAGAGAACAGGCACATACAACATACCTGGAGCTCCCTCTCATGGGAGAGCATGTCATTTAAATTAAATTGGGATAAAATATGTTGTTGATTTTTTTTCTTAGGTGGGGTCTCTTAATGGAAAAGTATCCACTTCACATAGTACTAAAAAAATTTAAGAAAAAAAATCAAGCCTTATTCTGAATCACAACTGATTAGTGCCCGGTCTTGCATCTGCTTAGCCCTTACTTACTCTATATAAACAAACACATTAAAATAGGCACGATTTTATGATTTTGAAATGTCAACACATACAGTACTATATTCATTTCCACTGTATAGTATGCGGTTTTAAATTACTAACATTGTAAAATTCCATTTTTGCCACTATGTACAATGAGCTATGTTGTTGTCTCCTGCAACTGATAGTGATTTCAATAACTGTTCTGAATCTGAAATCAGTTGGTCTTTTTTGGAGTATGCCTCCTTTGTAGTTGATCAAAACGAAGGCGGGGCTTTGGAGACTCACCAGAGCCGAAGCCCCTGCATTGAACTCCAATCTTTTGTACACTGCTAGCAGCTATAGATGTCTTCTATTGATTGTACTTCAGATTAGCGTGACAGCTTCATTTTTCTTTTAGGAAACAGATGTAACTTACGCCACCAAACCAAGTCTCGTAATCTTAGCTGAAAGGAATGAATGAATGATGAACACAATTGGCTTTGGACAAGAATGAAGGTCCAGTTGCTGAAATTAGAAAAGAGATTGAGTTAGTGGTTGTGCAGATCACAGAGCACTGATAAAACTAGAAGTCATTTACCGATTATTTACTTGATTTATTACCTGCTAATATTTTTAAAGCTATCAGATAAAAGAAACAGCACTTTATCATGTTCATCACACTGCATCTTCTTTTTCTATAGCTTGTCTTGTTGCAAATACTCAGGTCATTAAGACTAATCAATGTCCCTGGCATGGTGCAAAAATCCTAGAGCTACAGAGTTTGCTTTCTGATGAGTCTAGAAACTGAACACTCAGGCTGTGTCTAGACTGGCCAGTTTTTCCGGAAAATCAGCCGCTTTTCCGGAAAAACTTGCCAGCTGTCTACACTGGCCGCATGAATTTCCGCAAAAGCACTGACTTCCTACTGTAAGAAATCAGTGCTTCTTGCGGAAATACTATACTGCTCCCGTTCAGGCAAAAGTCCCTTTTGCGCAAAAGGGCCAGTGTAGACAGCTGAGATTTGTTTTCCGCAAAAAAGCCCCAATCACGAAAATGGCGATTGGGGCTTTTTTGTGGAAAAGCGCATCTAGATTGGCCATGGACGCTTTTCCGCAAAAAGTGCTTTTGCGGAAAAGCGTCTGTGCCAATCTAGATGCTCTGTTCCGAAAATGCTTTTAACAGAAAACTTTTCCGTTAAAAGCATTTCCGGAAAATCATGCCAATCTAGACGTAGCCTCAAGGTTCAGTTGCTGTAGGGCTGCTTAGCTGATGTGAGCAGACCTAACTTAAGACATGCCTGAACAAGTAACTTTCAAACAAGCCTAGACAAGTAGTTACTGAAGCTACTAACTAATGTGAATACATTTAAAATAAGGGAAACAAAAACTAAGTATTGTGAGTATATTTAGAGTAAATAAAGCATTCAGACAAACCCTGGACTGAATGCTTTAGAGAGAGACCGTGGGTGAGAGAGAATCTTTTACTGGACCAACTTTGTGAAAAAGGCAAGCTTTTGAACTTACACACTGCTCTCTCTCAGGTCCTGGAATACACCCAAAGGATATCCTTATGAAAGTTTGAAACCATGTTTCTCTCACTAACAGAAGTTGGTTCTATAAAAAGTATCATCTCTCCCGCCTAATCTCTCTAATATCCTGGGTCCAGCACAGCATACAAGTTTGCCTTACACAGAGAGATTGGGCTTTACATGCAAGAACCATAGATATTAGGGGCCAGGAAAGATGAATACAAATATTATGGTGTGTGAGATGAATTAGAATGGTGGCTAATCCCTTTAAATAAACCACTTGACTCTAGATCGTGCCAGCCTGAGCAAAGAGCTGATACATGCCTAACACAGTAACCTGAGTGATGCGCTGGAGACAGTTTTTTGGGTCCCAGAGAACTGGACAAAGGGTTCTGGAAAACCTAACCAGAAAGATCTCAGAGGAGATCCCAACAGATCTATTCAGAGGGTGAAAATAGTTTAACTCCTTGGCTACATCTACACTGGCAGCTTCTTGTGGAAGAACAGCCATTCTTCCTCAAAAACTTGCCGTCTGTCTGCACTGCACGAGCGTTCTTCCAGAAGTAAATTTACAGTATAGCATTGTAAAACATGGCAGTGTAGATACTCTCTCGTGGAAGAGTTTTTGCACAAGAACTCTTCCGCAAGAAGCTGCCAGTGTAGACGTAGCCCTTACGTTTTCCAAGAGATTTAAGCTCCTATGTTAAAGGGAGTCTCATACAGGAGCGAAGTGCCCCAGCCTTGTTTAGGTAGCACAGTTTGGGCTCTGTGAAAGAGAGGCTGAGGTTTGCAGGTTGTAGCAATTCACTAACGGAGAACTCTGTCTGAGATGAGTTCATGCACTGAGCAGTAGCCTCAAGACTGTTTGAAAAGGCACAGTTTTGCATAGCTTCAGCAAACTGAATTAAATTGACTTTCCACGGCACATCTCAATATGCCTTTCAACATTAAGGTGGCAGATAGCCTGGAAAAAAATTGAAAACTCCCTTAATTTGACTTTTTGTTTAATGTGTTGTGCTTTGCAATTGCAAAAAATAAAATCAGTATGTATCTGAGTCCGACCGGGTAATTTGGCAATATCTATCTTTTATGGCCCCCAATGAATCCATATGTATTGAGATGAATACATTGTAAAATCTCAGTTAAAGTCAGTTGGTCTAAATCAGTTATAAATATATTTGGACACAACATGTATACTTGGTGTTATGTTCCTGTTCATATTTTTTGAACTTAAAAGTTGACAGACAACCTTTATTACCAATAATATGTAATGTACTTTACAATGTTCCTGACATATATTTCAGCTTCCTGGATTTTTTTTTTCATCTGGCCTTCAGATATGAAAGGCAGAGTGATTTAACACCTGTTTAGATTTGTGATCCATGTGACGAAATGAAAAGTATGCCGTTTGCAATAAACTTTGCATAAAATAGTTAATTTGCATTTAATTTTAATGGTTCAAAGAATGTCAGGCAAAATGGTCGGCCCTCACGCATGTTCACTTCATCAAATCTGGCCCTCTTTGAAAAAAGTTTGGACACCCCTGATTTAGAGTAAATAAAGCATTCAGACAAACCCTGGACCGAATGCTTTAGAGAGAGACCGTGGGCTGTCATAGGCAAGTTGTCTTCAGAACAATTTCCAAATATTTAGTGTACAATTTGACTCAGCTTTGTACTAACACCAGCATCCTCAAGGCAGATGCCTTTTCAGGTCCACAAGTAGATGCCTACAATGGATTTCACAATACTGTATATAGGCTGTGATTTCTAAATGTCACATGCATCTGTAAGAGGCATCAATAGGTGGATGTGTGTCACTTTCCCATTAAGGGTCTGTTCTTACTCTATTTGACATTAATAGCAGACCTCTCAACTCCAAAATGAGCAGGCCGGATCTCTGAAATGTCAATTGTACATATTGTCCTTGTTCATTTATATCACAGCCCTTGTAACCTAGAAGCTATAGATAAACCAGTCAGGATGCACTATCTAGCCAGTGGGGTACAGATTGCAAGTTACTCTGAAGGGCCAGTGGTTCTGCAATTGCCAGTCAAGCCAGTTTCCAGAAGGAAAATAGATTCTTCACTTCACCTTCTGCAATAGCAGATGGGATGTTTTGATCGTGATATAGCAACAATGGCTGGTCTAGTTTCAATGCAAGACCACATTCTACATGGAACAAACATGTAACCCAATGAACACCACGGTACTAAGTGTCATCACTATGTAGGAGGCAGCAGGACACTCAGTACTTCTATTATAGGCCCCTGCTGTTGCTCTAGGGCTAGATTCATGCACTGAGCAGTAGCCTCAAGACTGTTTGAAAAGGCACAGTTTTGCATAGCTTCAGCAAACTGAATTAAATTGACTTTCCACGGCACATCTCAATATGCCTTTCAACATTAAGGTGGCAGATAGCCTGGAAAAAAATTGAAAACTCCCTTAATTTGACTTTTTGTTTAATGTGTTCTGCTTTGCAATTGCAAAAAATAAAATCAGTATGTTTCTGAGTCCGACAGCAGAGCAGCAGCAGAAATGGTGCAATGAGTTTTCTGAATGAAGTATCTGCATACATTTGTGGAAGCTTTCAACTGTCTTCCCCATGCCTCTGTCTGAGCTTCCTAATGTAGGCATGTACACCAAATCTATTCTGAGCTTTAGAGCAATAAAAGACTCTGAAATGAGTTTAGGAGCCATAAGAATAGTGAGACTAAGTGAATAATTCAGCTCCACTTCTCAATGAACATTAAACAAGAAGTTGCCTGTCATAGGCAAGTTGTCTTCAGAACAATTTCCAAATATTTAGTGCACAATTTGACTCAGCTTTGTACTAACACCAGCATCCTCAAGGCAGATGCCTTTTCAGGTCCACAAGTAGATGCCTACAACGGTTTTCACAATACTGTATATAGGCTGTTAAAGCATTTCCGGAAAATCATGCCAGTCTAGACGTAGCCAAGGATTTAGGCACCTAACTGACACTTGAGCACCTAAAAGTCCAAAATTTAGATCCTCAAAACACTCAGTGAACTGCTCCATAATGCTGTAGTTGCCTAAACTCTCTAGGCACCTACATATCCACCAATAGAATCTGCCAGGGCCCTAAATATATGCTGCTGGTCATGTACACAGTTAGCTTAATCCTGATGGCCAGGCACTTAGCTCATGCCTATGCCCAGTCATAATCCTCAAATGAGATCCTCCCCCCAACTCACATGCAGGGTCTGCTCCGGTAGGCATGCTCAGAAGCTAATTAGTTGTTCAGCTTCCATATAAAGCAGTGGTGGTGATGACACTGCTATCTACATAAAACACAGTGATTAGGCTGCAAACCCAGGATATAGGAGTCCTGGGATTGTTCCTTCTGGTTTGGAGCAAGGATGGGAACCAGCTCTTAGCAGAGCACCCGACTCCCTAGACCATGACATATTCAGGATAGGACTGTCTCAGTCTCACCTGTTGAAATTGTCCCAATTTGTTAATCCATTAACATAATTTAATAATAGAATGGGGACTGGAACTTGGGTCTGCCACATCCTGGGAATTGTGCTAACCAATGGGCTCCCAGCTGGGGGAGGGGTGGCAGTGATGGTGATGGGGTGGGGGACCTCTTGTTCTTTTGTGAGGAAGAGCTGACCTGGCTTAGGTGCCAAAGGCCAGGAGAGAGTTCATGACCATGAACCCTGCCTAAGTCTCTTTGGGAAGTGGGGTTTAAGCTGAACCCCTCTCTTCAGTATTTCCTGTTGGCTTACTGAGGCAGACTCTTGCTCAGCTGTCTGGCTTTTGTGAATCCTATTTCCTGGCACCTACCTCTCCACATGCTTTACACACAGAGCCTGGGCACCTCTCTCAGGGCTGCGGATTCCACTAGGTGGAAAGGCATGCTGCACTGCTTTTTGTGCTAAGTCTTTTTTGTGGCTCTAGCCCACAGTCTCTCCCCTTGAAAATGAACCTCTGTTTTGTTCTGCACTTTCTTGCAGCTGATACGATTCCTTGCCTCTGATATCAGGATTTTATAAAACCAGGAACAGTGGCACTATATTTTAAATGCCCATTTATTTCCTCTCTTTGTTCTACATTCACATAATGGGAAATGACCAGGTTTCAAAAGTGAACACCAGACTGGTGGCGGAGTTCTTTGGAAAAATCTGGCCAAAAGCATCATAACAGGTGCTGAATGTGTTTAAAAATCAGTCCCTTAGTTATGAAGGGTTTACAGACTGATGCATACAAATGCAAAAACTGTTGTATCTGACCACCACGGAACCTGATTGGTCCCTAAATACAGGAAATCGTTCTTTCCTCTTTGCATGGTTTTACCATTTTATCCCTACCCCATTTTTATTTTACTGACTCTTTCTAAGGACAGGTCATACCTACATAAAAGTGAGAAAAGGCCCTGTCAATGTCCTTATAGATTAAAATAGAGATCAGTCATTATTTTAGGAGTTCAACAATGCATGGAACCGTTTATGTCTTGATTACAAGAAATTGTGGCACCCAAGAATTGTTTTTACATGATATATTTAACCAATTTGAAGTACGTTTGTGTCTGCCCCAAACCATGACCGCAAGACCCGTCAGCCCCACTGAGCATACTGTCATGCTAATCATGCAAAGAATTGCTTGTACTAGTTGTATGCCTAAATGATAACCCTGCATTCCCGTAGCTAAATACAGTACTTACAAATTCTCCATCTTTGCCTCCGAAGTCTAAATAAAGCATCCTAATGCCATCGTCTGAAGACATTTTTAGTTTTTCATAGGGACACTGTACAATTGTTTTGGACAAGGCACCATCTCGTGGTTCAACTGTGAGAGAGAATCCATGTTCGTAATGGATGGTCAAACGGCACTCCTGGTTTTTGTAGGTACAAGCTGAACATGAAAAACAAAATGTAGATTACCTGTCTATGGCAACTTATTATTTGCTCTTCTTACAACATTATCAAATAAATCAACTTTAAAAGGAAATACTTAAAATGTATCTACTTCCACATTCTGGCCTGCTTTAAGCCTCTTCCAAATTCTATTTTAATAAAAAAGGAAACCAACATTCTTTTATAGACAGAACCTATAGCCACTTTTCTGAACCAAATGAAGTAGTATGATTAGGGACACTATATTTCCTATACCCAATATGGGACACCAAGGTGTGTGTGTGTGGGGGGGAAGGCTATTGGTGCTCGGGGCTTTAGCCCAAAGGGGGGAGGGCTGCCAGAACTCAGGGCTTCAACCCCACAGTGGGGTAGGGGGAGCTGTCAGTGCTCAGGGCTTTAGCCTTGCAGCTGGTGGGGTGCAGGGGTGCTGCCAGTGATCGGGGCTCCAGCCCCATGGGGAAGGGAGGAGGAAATGGGACAGGGGAGGAGGCTGAGCCCCGTGGTGGGTGAGAGTCACCCATCAACTGGGCTTCAGCCCCATGGCAGGCAGGAGCTGCCTAGGAATGAGCCTGAGCCCCACACAAGGAAAGGGTTTGAGCCCCGTGGCGGGTGGGGGATACCCAGGAACGGGGCTGAGCCCTCCAGTGGGTGGGGGCCATCTGGGAACAGAGCTGCCTGAGAACTTGGCTGAGCCCCATAGGGGTGGGGGTTGGGGCAACTGGAAACCAGCCTGAACCCTATAGCGGGTGGCTCTGTGTGGAGCCCCATGGCGAGTGACAGCCACCCAGGAATGGGGCTTCAGTCCCACAGCGGTAAATGGCTTCAGCTCTGCAGTGAGGGAATGGGGCTGCAGCCAGCAGTGGGGGCACCAGAGACAGGGGCTTCAGCCCTGGGGGAGAGGGGGTCTGGCCATCAGGGCTTTAGTCCCATGTTCCTGATAGGCTGGCAGACTCCCCCCCTTCTTTAGGGTGCACAGGGAGGAAAGACACTCAGTACTACCTGGTTCCTCCCTCGGCACCCTGCCTGACGCCACACCACATGCTCAAATAGGAGGCTGCTGCAGCTGCATAGATCTGGGAACTCAACGGCCAGCAGGGGGCGTGCAAATATGGGATATTTTGCCTCTTTTTTAAAAAAAATTCAGGATGCCTGAAAGACAGCTTAAATATGGTGATTGGAGCTGGGTAGCTAAAAAAGTAGATGGAGTGCATTTGAATATGTGGGGGATAGAAGATTACTTATATGACTGTATTCTGTATTTCAGTGTAATTATTTAGCCATCTCAATTGGATTACACCAAGCTTCACCGAATTTCCATGAACACATACAGATGGGGAGGGGTGGGTGTGTGTGTGTGTGTGAGAGAGAGAGAGAGAGAGAGAGAGAGAGAGAGAATAAACATCCACGCCCACACACACACACAACTCCCACGGAATTTCTAGTAGGTTTCACTAGTCCTTTCACAGGATTCTCTTGGTCCCTTCTGGTTTGTAATTTCTACAAGTGGATGAGTTGCCCTTGCTCTGTTCCAAAATGTGATTGCCAATGGAACCAGCTAACTTTCAAACAGGCATATGTAAAGCCCCTGCTCGTCCTTTGTTCTTCAGGCACAGAGAGCAGTTGAAATTAGCTGTTCCTTCCGTTTACTGCTTCTGCTGCTGTTCCTGTGCTCAGCAGGGCCAGGCTATTGGCTACCTCCATGTTGCCCCTCATTGACTGCTTATGACTGATATTTGCTCAGGAGGAGTGGACATCTGCACAGTGTAGTCTTTACCTTCAGCTGCCTGAAATTCTACCTGGAAATAAGCCCTTCATGGCCCTGAAGGATCCGATGCCTTTCCCTGACCTCCAATTTGAGATCAGTTGCTTTGTGCTCTGTCCCTAACTAGTCTAAGGGAGCTACAAGTTCTAATTTGAAGTGCTCTCTGCAATCCTCTCCATAAGGGGGAGTGCAGACAGAACCCAAACTGTGTCTGAGGCAGGGATGCAGGAACGGGGACAGGGTGTGGCTGTGCCACTTTTTACAAGCTGTAAGGACAAGTGATGGGGCACATGGAGAGATGTCTTCGAGGAAAGAGGCAATGTGAGGCTGGGCCTCGAGGAAACAGACAGTCTGGGGCAGAGACTAGAGGGGGCTCGTCTACACTGGCCCCTTTTCCGGAAGGGGCATGTAAATTTCATGAGTCGTAGTAGGAAAATGCGCGGGGGATTTAAATATCCCCCGCGGCATTTAAATAAAAATGTCCGCCGCTTTTTTCCGGCTTTTAAAAAAGCCGGAAAAGAGCGTCTACACTGGCCCCGAACCTCCGGAAAAAGTGCCCTTTTCCGGAGGATCTTATTCCTACTTCGAAGTAGGAATAAGACCCTCCGGAAAAGGGCACTTTTTCCGGAGGATCGGGGCCAGTGTAGACGCTCTTTTCCGGCTTTTTTAAAAGCCGGAAAAAAGCGGCGGACATTTTTATTTAAATGCCGCGGGGGATATTTAAATCCCCCGCGCATTTCCCTACTACGACTCATGAAATTTACATGCCCCTTCCGGAAAAGGGGCCAGTGTAGACGTAGCCGAGGAGAAGGGGCAGGGCAGGGATTTGGGGGCAAGGGGTTGCCATGGTTTGATGCTGGTGGCAGGACCATCCTTAGGATTTATGGGGCCCTACACAGTACTTTTTATTTTGCATAGAGGTTAAGGATGGCTTTGGCCGGTGCCCCCCACCCTATTTAGGAAGCTTTCACTGCTCCTGGTCTCAGTAGCTGGTTTGGTTGCTCGAGCCTCTTTTCTCCCAAGCAGTTCCTTCCCTGCACTAGGACACATTGGAATGTACTGCCGCAAAAGCCGCTGATCTGGCCTCTTCTCAGGAGACACTGCTCCTTACAAAAGCACGTGGTTCAACTGACATGAATGTCCTCATCAGGATGGAGCTAGGCAGACAAGTGTTCGACATGGATGGAAGAAAGGCAGCTGAGTGGATATAAACTGAGCTGTTACAGTTAAGGTACCTGCTGGTCACTGGTCACAAAATCATAGGTGAAGGTGTTGTTTGGATATGCCCTAAAATTAGAACAGTTGTTTATATCTCTTAGCATTAAATACAAGTTTTATTTCTTAAAACTTCTGGACTGAAGAGCTGAGGAGAACAACTTTGAAAGGTAGCACTGAGACCTGACTGATAGCTGGTGAAATTTCACATTTGATGTAGCCTTACAGTGAATTAATCAAGTCCCTGTTCTGTATTTCCAGACTGTGAAAGGCTACTGTAATTCATTCTGCTTTACAACACCCAAACAGGATTCAAATATACATACAGTTCAATTAATGTGTTGGATATTGCAGAGAGTAAATAAAAGAAGTCATTCCCCTTGACCTAATTCATCGTACCCAGCACGTGGATATCTCTAAATGCCAAGATACACAAGAAAATCTCAAACTTTAGTTTCAGGTACTCTCTTCCCACCACTTGCATACCAGACATTCAAAGAGACAGCCTCCCTCTTTGAGCACTAAATGAGCTGCAAAAGCTAAAAGCCGCAAAGGGAATCACTCAAGAATTTCAAGAAAGAGGAAGACACTTTTGAATACTAATTAGTTTCATGGTAATTGAAAAAAAGACCCTGATGATTGTAAGCAGTAGCTATTGCTTCAGGAATTCTGCACCATGGCTGATTTAACCTTTAGGTTAGCTTGGGGATCGAGCACCAGACGAGACTCAGATCTTAGGTAGAATAGAGGGAGTCTCTGATTTTAACAAAATGCAGGACAATGTAGCACTTTAAAGACTAACAAGATGGTTTATTAGATGATGCGCTTTCGTGGGCCAGACCCACTTCCTCAGATCAAATAGTGGAAGAAAGTAGTCACAACCATATATACCAAAGGATACAATTAAAAAAAAGAACAAATATGAAAAGGACAAATCACATTGCAGAACAGAAGGAGGAGGCGGGGGGGTGGGAAGGGGGAGGAAGGAAGGTAAGTGTCTGTGAATTGATGATATTAGAGGTAGGGAGAGTGGGATGTTTGTGAGTTAATGGTATTACAGGTGATAATTGGGGAAACTGTCTTGATAATGGGTGAGAAAGTTCAAAGACTTGTTAAGTCCCTGGTGGTAAGTGTCGAATTTTAACATGAATGACAGTTCAGAGGATTCCCTTTCAAGTGCAGATGTAAAAGGTCTTTGTAGCAGAATGCAGGTGGCTAAGTCATTTAGAGAGTGTCCTTTCTGGTTAAAGTGGCAAGAAACTGTTTTCTCTTTGTGATCTTGTCTGATATCTGTTTTGTGGGCATTAATCCTTTGGCGAAGTGTCTGAGATGTTTGTCCAATGTACATAGCAGACGGACACTTTCGGCACATGATAGCGTAGATTATATTTCTGGATGCGCAGGAATATGTGTTCTTGATCTTATAACTCACTTGGTTAGGTCCAATAATGGTATCAGCAGAATGAATATGTGGACAAAGCTGGCAACGGGGTTTTACCAGGGGATGGGTCTTGCACAGTGCGTACCATACCCCTTTGGACAAGCAAAAAGGCAAATCAACCAATAGGAGTGGCAAGGTGAGGGGGACTCCGCCAGGCATTTGAGACCAGTAGGCAAAATATGGGCTTGTCCACATGGGGCAGTTATTCTGGAATTGGGGGTGTGTGAATTTGAAGCATTATTTCTGTTCTTGAATAACTCCTCTTCTGGACACTCTTGTTCCAAAATGAAGGAATCCAGTCAGGGAGTTAATCCAGAATAGTTATCCTATTTTCCCTATGTAGTCAAGCTTGAAGAAGAGAGACTCCTGTGCTCGCTCACAGTCTTGATTGCATCACAGATGGAAGGCAGTTGTCTTACAGGGGGAGGTAGTTTGCACCCATTGCTAATAGACTGGCCCCCGTTATTGATTTAAAAAATGCAGGTCAAGGTGGGTAAGTGGCCAAGATCTATTTGTGAGTTTTGGATACTCATGGCTCCTACCTTACCCATTCCTTTTTCCAGATAGGTGCCCTAGTCAGATCACCAGTAACTTTTATGCCCTCTTCCTGATGTTTCCCTTACTCCAGGATGCAGGGCTTTCCCTTGGAGGGCGCCGGGCCTGGGGTAAATCCCCTACATCACCTCAGGAATGTAGCCTGGGACAACCCTCTTTGGCCCCACTCCACTTCTGCTCCATCCTTGTCCCACTTCTGCTCCACCCCTTCCTCCAAGCCTCACCCCTGCTCGGCCCCTTGGCGCTCTCTCACATGACATAAGCCAGGAGATTGCAATCGATGGTGAGAGGGGATGCAGGGCAACCCCTACTTCCACCTTGCACCCTGCTCATGCATAAGATAGTTGAGGCAGCCACTGTGGGGTCCCCCAAAGTGCAGGGCCTGGGGAGACCTATGGATGGGACACCTCTGCCAAGAGGATGTTCCTTCCAGGGGTCACAGAGCTGTGGCCCTTTGAACTAGAAGCTTAGCAACAGCATGAACCCCTCCATTCTCCTCATGACACTTTCCAAAGGCAGGAGGTCCCCATCTCTGGCTCTAGCACTTCAGGCATTATTAGCTGATATGAAGAAGAAAAGAGCAAAATGGAAGTCAGGATTACACACTACGGGGCCTGAAACCACACCCCTTGTCACAGTTAAGGGAAATTAAGAGTGGGCTGCAAAAGCAGCCATGCATTTTTCACAGAAACTCCGTCTCCATTCTGAAATTTCAATCAGCTCTGGTGGAAAAAATTTGGGCAGACCAATCAACTTCCCCAAGCATTGATCCTGGACTAACGATCCCAGACCCAGCGTTTTGAGTCTCGTGCTGAGAAACAGGCCGAAGGGCAAACGCCGAAGTGACTCAATGTAAAGAAGAAGAACTTCCCAGTGTTACTCACAGGTTTTGATTTCCGTGATGAGTTCAGCTGAGTTATGGCAGCCCTGCACTATGTTCCTTGTCCACAGGGAGAGATCTCTGCTAGTCTCTGTCCTGAAGAGATGCGTTTCGATCCCTTGCCGTGTACCGGTGCGCGTTGCAAAAGACAAATCCACCCCAGATTGTGGGGATCCCTTAGTTGGACCTGAATGGACCAACCTGAAATCAGATTAAAAATTAAAAAATTAAATAAAATGTTTTCATGGCTCGATGCTGTCCAGAGTTTCATGTCATGCAGCTGTACGCAATGGAATGAAAAGGTGGGACTTTTCAGTTTAGAAAAGAGGAGACTAAGTGGAGATATGATAGAGGTCTATAAAATCATGAGTGGTATGGAGAGGGTGAATAAAGAAAAGTTATTTATTAGTTCCCATAATAGAAGAACTAGAGGACACCAAATGAAATTAATGGGTAGCAGGTTTAAAACTAATAAAAGAACATTCTTCTTCACACAGTGCGTAGTCAACCTGTGGAACTCCTTGCTAGAGGAGGCTGTGAAGGCTAGGACTATAACAGAGTTTAAAGAGAAGCTAGATAATTTCATGGAGGTTAGGTCCATAAAAGGCTATTAGCCAAGGGATACAAATGGTGTCCCTGGCCTCTGTTTGTCAGAGACTGGAGATGGATGGCATGAGACAAATCACTTGATCATTGTCTTCAGTCCACCCCGTCCGGGGCACTTGGCGCTGGCCACTGACAGCAGACAGGCTACTGGGCTAGATGGAGCTTTGGTCTGACCCAGTACGGCCATTCTTATGTTCTTATATGCTTCAGCCATGGAGAACTGAAGGTTTCTGGTTACCCACATAACAGGCACAGACTGGGCAGAGGCAGGGCAAGAGGCCTAACCCTTGACCTGCACATGGGAAAGGGAGTGACTCAGTTTCCAAACCCACTCAGAGCTAGACATCCCTGTTACTGCTGTCAACAAGAGTGGCAAACAGTGCTAGCTGGGGAGGGAAGGGTTCTGTGATATGCACAGGTCTTCCAGGAACTGGACACAACACAATCAAGCAGCCCCAAAATCTTATTTGACTAGAAATGATAGTTGCTGGGCCTGATTATCAAAACATTAAAGCACAGAATAGTGCACCCCTAAACGCCCTTGCAATTAGAGCACTAGGAGCCCTAGTATGTCTAAATGGACGACAGGGTTTCTAAATGTTCATCTGAGTATACAAACCAGTCAATTTGCATTAGGGATTGTTGGCAATTGTGCATAAAAATTAGCTACACAATAGTGCACCTGACTCTGGCTTTAATGCTTAAGCCCTAAACTGTTTAATTTGCTTCAGAAATATGAGTGCTAATTCAGATAACATTATAGAGAGAAGTCTCAGAGGGGCTACTGTGTTAGTCTGCATCTGCAGAAACAATGAGGAGTCCTGTGGCACTTTAACCTGTTAGTCTTTATTATTATACAGAGAGAAACCTCTTCCTTCCAGTGGCACAATGCATCTTTATCTAAAATCTTCAGTCTAAATGATGAAAGACAACAAGGTAACAGGCACCTATTAAATATCCATGGGCAGACACCAAGTACCATTTTCTATATATTTTTCCTTAAACAACTCAAGCACAAATAATCTCAAATATACCAGATACCATAACCCTAACCTTGATTTTTTTTCCTCTCGTGTTTTGTCGTATATAAAGAAAAACTGAAGCTACTTTTACTCCAGGATGACCAGCTAATCTTCAGAGTAAAAAGAAAGGTTTGTTCACTAGCCCAAAAACTAAATTTCAAAAACAGTCATTTTGAAATAAAAATGACAACCAAATATCTCATTTCTCCTAGAGATTATCCATATTTTAAAGAGAGGGTAGGAAGTTAGAGAAGTAATTCAAGGACATTGCAACAGTTGAATTGTAATGATGAATGCAGAGAACATATTTCACCCTTTGAGGGCTAAACACTAAACCCGAGAGAGACTGATAAAGTGAAACTAGAATCATTCTTACAAAACTGACACCTGAAGAAAACAGGAAAATAGATGTATTTTTTATCTCAACCTATGCAAATGATAAACGTACACAGAGACAATATATAATAAAAAGCCACTTCTCCAATATCTGCAATGTAAGATAATCCCTACATCAAAATATTAATTCCCAACTAGCAATTTCTGTTGCACTCCTGTAACATGATCCTTCCCTCTTGAAGGAGGGTGGGGACCAGCCTGTAGGCAGGGACTATGGGTGGCAGGAGCAGTGCTTCAAGGTGAGCTGGGCTGGAGAGATCCTCTGAGCTCTGGAGGGGAATGGACATAGGGGGGGCAGAGTCCCAGGCAAAAGGGACAGGCCAACTGGAGTCTAACCTACCCAAGCCCGCCAGTCACCTGCCACTCATGCCTGCAAGGCAGACCTGGCTTGAAGCGTTAACTTTCACAGCCCCCTTCTGAACTTTGGCACCCTTCCCTCTTTTGCGGGAGGATTCTGAGGACAGCAGACAGCATTCCTCCACTGCAGCCATGCGACTTGATGGAGGAAGAGGCAGAAATGGAGCTTACTCTGTAAGGGTATGTCTACACTGCCACCCTAGTTCGAACTAGGGTGGCTAATGTAGGCATTCGAAGTTGCAAATGAAGCCCGGGATTTAAATATCCCGGGCTTCATTTGCATCTTGCCAGGCGCCGCCATTTTTAAATCCCCCTTAGTGCGGACTCTGTGCCCGCGGCTACACGTGGCATGGAGTAGGTAGTTCGAATTAGGCTCTCTAATTCGAACTACCGGTACACCTCGTTCCATTAGAGAGCCTAATTAGAACCACCTACTCCATGCCGTGTATAGCCGCGGGCACGGAGAAATGGCGGCACCCGGCAAGATGCAAATGAAGCCCGGGATATTTAAATCCCGGGCTTCATTTGCAACTTCGTATGCCTACATTAGCCACCCTAGCTCGAACTAGGGTGGCAGTGTAGACATACCCTGAGGGCCATCTGGCAGTGTAGACATACCCTAAGGGCCATTGGGCCCTGGACTTTCAGAGCAGAGTCAGTGCTCCTGGTTATACTCCTGGCTGTCCTTCTAAATTCCTTTGGTAAATGACAGTATGTGAAGCTGACAAGGTGGGGGAGGTGATATGTTTTGTTGTACCAGCTTCTGTTGGTGAGAGAGACAAGCTTTCCAGCTGACACAGAATAGGGATGTAAAATCCCAGTTAATCAGCTAACTGGTTAAACTTTAGGTTTAAGTGCTGCTCCCCCATACCCTCCCGCATGGGGAGGAGGGAATGGCTCCTGTTTCCCAGCTCCCAACCCCTGAGGAGGTTGTGGCAAATGTGGGCGAGGGATCCTCCCAGGTACCAGTTAAGCAGTGCCTCGAAAGCATCACCCTGTATGGTTACTCATTCGTTTCCCTAATACCAAGTTCCGCATAACACCACTGCATATAGTTCGAAAGCATCACCCTGTATGGTTACTCATTCGTATCCCTAATACCGAGTTCTTCATAACACCACTGCATATAGCATGTCTGGGCCTCAGTTCCCTCTCACTTGCACGCTGCCCCGGTGACAAGTAAGGAGGTTTCATAACCGTAAGTATGGGGTGTTTTACAATATCAAACTGTCATTATAAAACAGTAAGCCACAGAGCCCAGACTTAACATTAATTTCTATGGGAAATTGTACTCTAGGAAAACATTTCAGAGCCCTCTGTCACATTCTTTCTGCTGCGGACAGAGTTCATTAACTGCTCTAACAAGTACTTCCCAGAACTTGTCACACAGCATGCCACTCAATTTGGAAACCACACTCTCAGATGGCAAGTGCCTAAAACTAGTTCACATCTACAGCAAAATGGCATTGCATGTTATCAATAATATAAAAAATACAGCAGGGCTAACATTAAGGTTCTACAATATGTTGGCAGACATGAGCAGCATATTGGACCTACCTGGTAACCTGAATATCACACCCAGTATGAACCATGTTTACTCCCTACTTTCTCATCCACACCACTACCTTCTTACTTAATCTGACTACTAGAATTTCAGGTACATTACTGAAAAGTTTTTAAAGGAATATTATTTAAAATTCTACTCACTGTGGCATCAATTGTATATCCAATTAGAGATCAGGCTTTGCAAAGTCATGCAGAGTGACATGAACTACACAAGTATTCAGGAGGGAATTAATATTATGGGGTATCATTGCTGAGGTATTTAGATCTAAGAAAGGGCTCCCCAGTTTACATTTGGCCACTTCTATTGCTGCTCCTATGAAGTATTGGAAACAGCAGGCCAATTGAAAAACCCAACATCCATTTAAGAATGCCAGCCATACCAGTTCTTTTTGCAAACCCAAAGAGCATGTTGTTTAAGCTGCTCCATTCAGTTGGTTGACATAAAAATCAGTTCTTTGTTTGAGAGGATATGCAAGACCCCTTCGGGAGCTTGCAGTCAGTCTTAATAAAACTGCAGAATGTCAGAGCATTCACTAGCATGCACATCTTTCCAGCGACCTCTTTTAACATGAATGGTGAAGGTTATTCAATGGTGGATGCTCTACAAAGAACTACAGAGGGAGACTGGAAGCTGGTCACTAGCATAACCTTCAACTTTCAACCAATGCTGTCACCAGAATTCAGAGCAGCCACCAGGGGGCACAAGAATGTTGGTAATTTTAAACAAGTCTGCTCAGGACTAAGTTGATGGGAGGTGTACTAGGAATCGACAGTTACTGTAAAATGTCTTCTTTACATTCCTTAGAGAGCTGACAATACAGATTAATTTTTCAGATTGCTCCCTGTTCTATTTTTATTCTGTCTGCTTTCTGGTTTTTTCCTTAATTTTTTTACATAGGCATAGTACTGTGACATGAAGAATACAAACCAAGGTGTCGCTGCTGGTGGGACTCTGTGGTCTGCATTTTCCTTTAATGATACGAAAGGAATCTCCAGCATTTGTTGTGGCACAGAAAAACCTTCACAAATGACAGTGAAATTCTCCCTGCCACCCTGGGGAGAATTTTCAAAGCAGGTATTCAACTGCTCGGCTAAGATTTATGTCAGAAGGCATCGATGTAAGTTCTATATCAAGTGCTGTCATCAAGCCGCTCAGTTGAGCAGAAAGCTTTGAAAAACCTAACCTGGTACTATTACTCCTGTTCTACACAAAGCACTCCTGAGTTCCCCCTTTAGACGTGCTCTTGAACAGGT